CAGGTGGATCTTCTGGCCTTTTGCCGTAGGTCTAGTACTGTAAACCTACTTCCTTAATTTCTTGACGCCCAGTCTTGCAAAATCATTTGATGCATTAAAATGAAATGCGGTCAAGTATCCGTGTGCTAGCTGTTAACCCAGAAGCGGCACAATCATATTGGAAGGCTCATATCGTTTGTTCTGGTCCCTCATGGTTTCATCCGGCTTGGGGCAAAGTGCATCGTAGTCGAATGTGTCGTTTGGTCTTGCCGACACGCCTTGAGTATCGTGGTAGCTGACTCCAATTGGAAGTTTAAAGTTCTTTTACCTATTGGAACTCGACTGACGTCAAAGTTGGTACATCAATGTGTTGAGCACAGCGGCGACTGCGGTTGTATACATGCTTGCGATTTTCGCGCCACGCACTGCTTTATGATTACAGGTATCGGATGCACCTCAGTAAGATGTTGACTGTTCTTCCTCCTATAATTTTTCAGACACCTGAAGAATTACTTCCAACAGGTTGACATTCATCTTCTGGAGGACTGCATGAAGGCTCTTGAAGGTCTCACTCTGAAAGACATGGTGGTCTTTGTTCCAACCTTCTTGTCTCGAATCTACATCAAGGCATTCGTCTACGGCAACATCCCTGCCACGGTATCGCCTTGCCTCCTCAATGCCATCATCTTTATCCTGGGGTGGGGAGATTAGGGGTTGGAGGGCGAGGGACCATTGGGAACTGAATTAGCTTGAGGACCATAAATTTATACCATTTTGCTGCATTACCCCTTTGAGTAGTTTGATTCCTCTTTTTTAGCACAGTGTTTCACTTGTAAGTTGTAACGTGAAGCTGTATACTTCACTCAGGATTGATGCCTTGGTAAGGCTTGGGATCGACAAAAGGGTTGGTTAATTTTGCTGCAATAAAATCAAAGTAGGATGCTTGTGAATCAGTCGACGTTGTCCCTTTCGGTGAGCATGTGACGACTTTGGTTGTATGGTAAGAGTTGACCCACTGTTGATCCATCAAAGCAAGGCTCTTCGTTTTATGCACTCTTCCACGAACTCTTCTAGGCGATAATAAGTGAGTGCAAGGAAACAGTGGTCAAGATTAAAAGACTGATGGGTAAATCATGAAAAAGGGAGCACTGTGGGTGGGTTCGAAGGACCTTTGAGCATCCCATTTTATTTGACTCAACAGGTGACGAAACGGTACATCTACTACACCCTATCCAAACTCACACTGCAGGACGTTGCTGTCTTGAAACCCGTGAGTCCTTTGTGTTCAACATTCTACCACTTTAACGTAGAATTCGGCTCAAATATTTCTGACTTGTCTCTTTTGAGCATTTCAGTATCCCAAGGCTGCTCTACCTGCATGCTTGAATCGGCTGCGTGTGATGAATTTCGACAAGACTGATGTCAACACCTTCCAGTTTTTGATGAGTCCCCTTCGGGGCACACCCTCACACGACCTTCGATACGAGGTGATGAACGAGGTCCTTGAAGTGAGTGGTCACTCGTTTTGCCTTGTGTTTGCCCCCTCGTGGATGAGTGATGCATTGCGAAGTCTTTTTTTGCTATCTTGCAGGTCTGTCTGCGCGAATCAGCCTGCGCGTATCTACGGACATGGGAGACGCTGGGCTAC